GTTATATTTCTACTATAGGTAGTGTGGTACTATATAATAATAAAATATAAATAAACAATGTTCATCAATTTGTTAATAATATGTATATTATTCAAAACAAATATACACAAACAAATATAGACAATATTGCTTATAAAATATTTTCAAATCGGCCTTCTTAGCTTTCCTGGTGGACAATTTTGTAACTAAACTGCCGTAAAAATGGTACTAATTTATTTCTCGTACGTATCATTGATAGTGACTACACCGTTTTATCTACATCGTGTCTGTGGCACTCTTAGATCAGATACTAGTATATGATCTAAGGTGGCACTTGAGTACGGTTCACGGTTGTATGTTGGTGTAGTTGGTATGACTGCGTAAGAGTGTTACCATTTGATAAAATTCATATGGAAACACTGTTATCTGTATTAATTTGGTAGATGAGTAGACCACGACACTGTCTCGACCTCTGCCATCAACCATCTGTGGCGTCTCGCGTAACGCGTTTCAGCGTTTGTCATTTGTTATTTTGCAGCCTGGAGACTGTGAGGATGTGTGTCGTGTCGTGCTGAACTATAATCGCGGGCTGGTACACGGACCTCGGGCAAATGGACTCGTCTGTGGTCCTGTCGGTCCGCGGTTCCTGGTTGCCCGGTTTTTCATCGTTTCCGTTGATCGTTAGCTCTGGCGCCAATCCGTCGCGTATGCATTTMAAAAATTGAAATCGCTATGCGTGGCCAACCATCTCTATGTTTCCATTGTCAACGCCTCAACGGACTGATGGGCACGCACGCACCTCCGGCGGTGCGATCATCGAATCACTCATCAGTGCACCACAATATTAGTCTGGCAGGCAGCGAGACGTCCAGCCACCGCTTCGCCGAAAAATAACGTGAGTATCGTCGTCCGGCAGTAATGTCGTCTGTGATACATAACCTTAAATCGGTACTCGTGCGAGGGTCGTCCTTCGGTCTAAGCTCATGACCTTTTCTATCTGATTGAACATTCGTCATACAACTTCAAGCGACAATTGATCCACTCATCCAAATCCATTGTCCGTCGGCTGTAATCGATGTCGCTGCGTGTTTCTTTTTCTCTTCGAGACATGATCTGCCTCGTGGTTTGTCTTCGCTGTCTGAGGAATCGCCTTTCTTCCATCGTTCAACATTTGCCTCGTGTTAATCCACGTGGTCCGTTGTCTGTATCGCTTCATGGTTATTCGTATTCGTGATTTTGTATTTGTAAACAAATTTGTTTTTTTTCCTACACGAGGTCCTGGATCTTGACAATTTAAACTTCATTATTGACCTTCCATTTATTCGAACTTATCAGTAGCAGTGTTATGTTWAAAGGTATCTCGGTGTGGTAGGACCCTTGGCCATTATAGAAACATTGCGTAAATTGTACAAGTCATACCTAGGCGTGCGCACCTGAGATGTCTGCAATGTACTCATGATTAGAACTTGAATAATTTTATATATTTTTTCTCATGGAAATTTGGGTTTTAACTTGAAATAAAAATATATAAGGTAATTATATTTCATTTTCATTGTTAAGCGAGTTATTTATTTATTTTAAAACACTGGCATACCCAGCATAAAAAATCTGCGCTTGCMTCTGATGCAAATGTAAGGCTTAAAATGTTGATGATTAAATCAGCTAACAGGTTCGGTTAGATACTGGTATTTAAATTTTAGAAATATATTCATGAGATGAATAATTAGTCATTCAATTTACCTATTCTTCATGTGATAAGTATGATTCATGGCAAACATCCCGGAGTTTGTATCTGTTTACGTGTATTCCACGCATTTATCGATCAAACAAAACTATCCACTACCCAGCTTCCCGCTAAATTGCTTATTAGTAGAGGACGTTTAGTGAGTGGTAAATTGACTTCCTAATTATCGTAACTACTGTTTTGTGCAATATATCAAAGTAGTATTGCAAGTTAAGAAACATCTGTAGTATGATTATTCTATTAATACTATATAATATCATAACTCGAGTTGCATATGTTTAATTTAACAGTTAACATTAATTTAATTGATTCATAATAAGTGTGGTCGTCAGATTAGTATCTATCTACACATTGGTACCTATTTAAAGAAAGTGTCCACTCCCCAGCTTCCCACTAAGTTAATTATTAGTAGAGGACGTTTAGTGAGTGGTAAAACAATTTACAAATTATCGTAACTACTATTCTGTACATACTGACAAAGTAGTACTGCAATTTTGGAAACATTTACATTTATAAGGTAAATTAAGTGGTTAACCTGCTTAACAATCAATGTATTTATATGTTTTTTTATATGATAATTTATGATGATTTTCAATAAATTAAAATTAGTTTACGTATACTGTAATAGGTATCTTTTTAATAGCCCATGTCAGGAATTGTCCACTCCCCAGCTTCCCACTTAGTTACCTACTAGTTGAGGACGTTTAGTGAGTGGTAAAACAATTTCCAAATTATCSTAACTACTATTTTGTGCAATCTAACAAAGTAGTATTGCAATTTTGGAAATATTTATATTCATGAGATGAATTAAGTTGGTAATACCTAATTAGCCATGAATATATTAAGTGTATTTTGGTACTTCTAAGGGTTGTTCTTACAATTTCCGGTTACAGTAAATAGATACTTAACCGGCACTGCTGGTAATAATCCAACTAACCGTTGGTGAACTGTTAACCAACATTGTAAGACCGACCTAATAATTTATGAGTTATGTCTAATTAGTTTATCTCTATGTTTGCCTGTTTAATTATATATATATTATGTAAATAAATTGTCCACTCCCCAGCTTCCCACTAATTTACTTACTAGTTGAGGACGTTTAGTGGGTGGTAAAATAATTTCCAAATTATCGTAACTACCATTTTGTGCAATCTAACAAAGAAGTACTGCAACTTTGGAAACATTTAAATTCCAGACATTAAAACACATAATGTTCAACATTTTAATYATAAACAATTATAATGTTAAATGAAAAATATAATTAATAGTTATGATATTTGGTGTTATTTTTAGTTGATTCCTTAACTCTCAAAATATCAACTTATCGCACAATAACAGTAGTTAGGATAGAAGAAGAAAACACGCTAAAACCGTTGACTATTCAGAATGGAATTTTACATATTTAAGTAAGTACCTTTATCAATATTTGTGTAAAATTAACTAGAAATTATTTAATATACTCTGTAAGAGCTAATATTAATCATTAAGTACCTACAATTTTTTCTTGGTATATATTGTTATTCTTGTTTTCTTTAAGCACTTTTATCTTATTTCAGTCATTAAATTGAGTTCTTTTGCTAAATTATATAGTATTAATTGTTCTCATCTGATAATATATATAGTATCTGATATAATACAATTACAATTATTATCTTTTCATATTTTAATGCTTTGTTTTAGTATAAAAAGTAAACTATGATGAAAATTTCAGGCTCCCTCATCTGAGAGAACCCAAAAACTAAATAATGCAGAATCTACCACTTTTCTGAGTAACCACTAAATTATCCATTTTATCTAATTGTTTACTTCTTAAACATTAATAACTTATTTATGTTTAGAATACAATTTACTATGATGAAAATTTCAGGCTCCCTCATCTGAGAGAACCCAAATTAAATAATGCAGAATCTATACCACTTTTCTGAGTAAATGTAAAATAATTGATTAGTTAAGCCATACATTTTTTTCTGAATATAAACATATTAACTATGATAAAAATTTCAGGCTCCCTCATCTGAGAGAACCCATATTTTAGTAATACAGAATTAACCATTTTCTGAGTTATTAAATTATTACTTGTGAAACCATGTTAAATGTGTCTATAAAATATGTAACATTAAAATAATTTAAACTTCTCAATGATGACTTAAACAGGCTCCCTCTTCTGAGTTAATCTGTTAAAAGATTTGCTGCGGAAAACTGCTGTAATGTCTGATGTAACATTATTTTTTTATTTATTAATTAATATTTTTTTTTTTTTTGAAAGATCTTATTGTTGTCTAAAGTATTGCTTGACAGTATAGTCTTAAGACTTGGGCCATGACAAAAGAATTTTACTGCCTTAGTTGTAGTATATGGTGGCTTTAAACTTAAATCATTCAAATTGAAATGTTAGTAATGAATTTATAGAATTTTAAGTAAAATATTTTAATTGTTATTATTTACTTATTTAAGATTGACTGCCTACATTTTAGTGACACTTAGTCAATAATGAAGTAATCCTAAATTGCATAATATAAAATATGATTAAATCTCCACTTTTAATCTAAAATTAAATTTTGCAGTGTAGATTATTGACGCTCTGTTTTAAATCTAATTATTAATTATTATTAGGATATACTATAAAAAAAAAATATTTGAGGACTAATTTATTCCTAATCAAGTCTAAATCAAGTCTATTGTTTGAAATTACAAAATTGTTGTCCACTGCCCAGCTCCTATATAACGTTTTATTTAAAGATGTTTAATTAGTGGTAAATTATTACAACTTAAATTATTAACTTCTTATAAGTTCTTTTAAAGTTCTCCATTTAGTTTTTTTTTTTTTTTATAGAGAAAGTTTTTATAATTGATCAATATTAATTGATTTAATCATAATAACAGTTAATCGGTCTATTAAACTTTTGTAAAATCATCGATGTAATTAATTGATTGTTATTTGTTATAACCAGGGTTCGGATTTTATAGCACCAAAAATCCTAAAATATGCGCTATAATATGACCAAAAAAACCTTAAAATATGCCCTAAAAACATCAAAAATAGCAACAAATAAAAATATATACAAATCAAAATCATCAGTCAGAACAGACTGACGCTGAAATACATACAACAGTCGACGGTATATTATAGAATCTACAATTATGTGGAACAATAACAGATAAGAAGATAAGATTCGACRTCGTYGGACTATTTAAAAATAGATTTATTACATGTTATATAATATGAAACGAAAATGTGGGAATTTTTCTTATTGACTCGCATTAATGAATACTATTTGTCATTCAATATAAACGAGATTTATGAAAAATATAAAATWAAGCGTTGARTTAAGAATATTAGCAAAAAATAGCACCAAAACTTTAAAAATAGCACTAAAATTCTAAAATTCTTCAAATATGCAAAAAATAGCAAAATAAAATTTCATATTTAGAGTCCCTGGTGTATAAAWCAAATTTATAGCCCACTCTGCTATTTTTATCTCTATCCTATAATAAGTAGCTAATGCTATAAAATCCGAACCCTGGTTATAACCTTGTAGGCCTAGTATATAGATAAAAAAAAATTTGTTATTTGTAATTTTATTAACTTCCATAATTTATTTGTAACTAAATTATTTTCAGCTCAAAATGCTGATATATGCATTGTTTAAAGATAATACTATCATTCATATTTTATTTATTTTCTTTTCTAACTAGGTATCAATATTAATTTTTGTTATCAGGAGACACTTGTCCAAGCACTAGTAAGTTTGCCTTGTCAATGACTGCTAAAATGACTACTACAGAACACATCATACCCTTCTTCCTCGTGATCTTRTCTACACAACCTTATGGTCTTATAGTAAGCAAAAACATCAGAATGAATTTTCTTAGGAAAAAATCCCTGGTAAAACTTATTGTACATTGCCAAAGTAAGTATAAAGGAAACAAGTATCATCAATGTAAAAATCAATCCATCCGTTACATTGTATAAATTATTAATGAAATGTATAATTTACGATTATCATAAAATAAGTAATAATATTGATATTTAATTTCCTTTTCTATTTTTACTATTGTTACTAGTGATAATTTTTATGGTAAACTTCTTAATACCTGTTTTTCAAAAATATATAATTGAGTGTTAAAATATAGACCAACCTAATATATTAATGAAAGAATTTATTAGAAATCTATATTACATTGAATTTCTTACACTATTTAGTCATATTAAGTATTAAATTTCTCATTTCTCATTAAGTTATTGATTATTATTTGTTTTAAATTTTATTTTCAAAGAAAACTGTGATAC